CCCCTTCTAATCCTCCACGGGTTGAGGGAGAGCATCTCATCAGTGTTGTCTTTCAGATAGGGGCCAAAGCCAGAGACCATAACTCTGTGAGCCCTTCTTTGCTAATGTAGCCAGAGGAAGAATGCCAAAAAAGGAATGCTTCTTAATGTAAGTGAATTGGAGGATATTTTGGGAATCAAAATCAATTCTTTTTGAAAATAAATGATGGAAGGGGGCCTCTCCTGACTATATAACAGTGTGGTTACAGCAGACAGTGCAAGCCTGGTGTTGCTGGGGAAGGCAGTGCTGATAGTCTCCATAGTCTCCATTCCTGGGGTCTTAGCATCCCTGTTCCCCTACCACCATCCCAATATCCAGTCTGTATTGTCTCCACTGGCCTTTGGTAAGAAAGTTTAGCAGTGATCACCCACAATTATTTTTTCATTTTATGAAAAGATTCTTGATAAATAAGAATTTTAAGGAATCTCTGATATTGCATTATAGTTCAGTGGTCTTCGTACAGTGATTGCCCCACTAGGAATATATGAAAATGTTGTTGTTGTTGTTGTTAAGTGCTGTCGAGTAGGTTCTAACTCAGCAACCCTGAATAGGGTTTCCAAGAGTGGCTGGTAACTTTGAACCATCAACCTTGCAGTTCAAACTAACCTTGAGGTCCAGTGCATTTTTCCACAATGCCATACTAGGACTTTATATGAACCTGTAAATTAATCAAATTATGTGTGTTATAAGTGTGCATGTTAATTCCCTGAGCATGTTGTGTAACATAGGGTACCCAGGGAAATAGCATGCACACTTACAACACACATAGCTTAATTAATTAACACAGTATGGGGCTGCATGGTTTGCAACAAAAATGTATATCCAATGAGAACTGGGGACTCCTGAGTCCATGGACAAGGGAGTGTCACAGCCACAGAGGGCTACAGTTGAGAGTGAAGAATCCAGCTGATATGAAGTAAGGGGATACACACAAGAACACCCAAACATGTAGACAGTACCGATTTGACCTAGCCTCAATGGCTTAATGATTGGAACTCGACTAGAGGAAGATAAAAAAATAATTTTTGATAAAGGAAACAAGTGTAAATTGCTACAATTTGATGAACTTGACTTATATTTATGGATGTAGTAGCTCTAAATACCAACTGAGAGGGAAGGAGTCTTCACATCAAGTATCAATCCTGAAAATACAAAACAATATAGGCAGGCCGACTGATTACTACAAGAACAAACAAGTGGCTCGCCCAGGAGATATCCAGGCAAGTGGTCAGGTCCCCCTCAGGGCAAACCCCCTTCTAAGACTAAAGCTCAATGGGAATACATGCTCTGATTGGTGATCACGTTCATCACCGATAAGGGGAAGTGAGGGAAAAACAGCAGTGAAGCTGTGAGCTAAGCCCTACAACGTTGGCTCAATAGACTCCTGTGAACCCGGATAGAGACCTGATTGGTCAGCAGTGTGCCAAGTCCAGGGGACTCTTGGACCCAGAGTCAGCGACATAGCCACAGAGGACTAGAGTGGAGAGTGAAGCATCCAGCTGATAAGAAGAGAGGGCACCTGCATAAGTACACCCACACTTGCAGATAATACCCACCTGACCTGGCTTCAATGGCTGGATGATCAGAGCTCAAACAGAGGAAGAAAGAAGAGGAAAAAAAGAGTAATCTGATAAAATTTGATGAACTTGACCTACACCTATGGAAGCAGTAGCTCAAAAGAGTGAACAAATCTTCACAGCGAGGATTATTCCCACCTCCTCCGCACACAGAGAGGACAGGGATGGGCAACTTGGACATTGGCTACGTAGAATGAGGGGGCTACAGAGGCAAGAAGTGACTAGCTTACTAGCTTTCAAGAGGGAACCTAGATCCAGAGGGCATGGAGCAAGGTAAATCTCCACTGAGTAGTATCCATTCTGCCTAGTCAGGGCTGATGAAAGGAGATGCGGATAGGTCTCTTGCGATACAATAGTGAATAATTGTTATCAGGACTGATTGTAAGGGCTGGAAATGTAAAGGTAGATGTTTTGGGGCAAAGGGAGGGGAGTGATTAACCTTGCAGTCTAGGAGCGGAGGTCCCTGGGACCATCAAAGGAGAAGAGCAGGGAATGGAACCCTACCCAGAGAATCAGTGATGCCAGGGATGGAGGCAGAGACAATGACGTGGGGAGATGGAGCAGCTAGGGACTTTGGACCCAGAGAGGGAGAGGGCCTGTATGTGGACGACTAGGGGGCAGGCTTGCAGGGTATACCCTTAGGTTGATGGATGATGCATAGAAGGGATTGTAACCATGGCAAGGAAACTATATACTACGGGATCAATGTGAAGCTTATGTCCTCCCATGTAAACTATTACATAATTCACAATAATGCATTGAAAAAAAAAAAAAGTATCAATCCTTTCCCCTCTGTACACAGGGTTGATATGGATGGGCAACTTACACATTGGTTACCTAAAATGAAGTGGCGATAAAGGCATGAAGTGACTGGTTTACAAATTTTCAAGAGGAATTTTAGTTTCAGAGTGTGTGGGGGTTGGGGGGGAATGTACACCCCAAACTTGCCACCATCAAATCGATTCCAATTCAGAGTGGCCCTAAAGGACAGAGTAGAACTGTTCCTTAGAAATCCAAGACTGTAAATCTTTAGGGGGACAAATAGCCTCATTTTTCTCCTTAGAGTGACTGGTGTATTTGAACTGGCAATCTTGTGGTTAGCAGCCCAGTGTTTAACCCACAGCACTATCAGGACTCATTAAAAATATTTAAGGTGTAAGTTATTTGTATAAAGTATGGTATGAAATAAAAGGGAATTAAAATTGCAGACAGAACTCATCAGCTGATTTTAAGATAGGGAGAGCATCCTAGATTCTCTGGTGGGTCCAATATGATGACAAGGGTCCTTTTTAGTGGAAGAAGGAGGCAGGAGAGAGAGAACCAGAGAGAGAGCAGTATGGGAAGGATTTGGCCTATATTGCTGCCTTTGAAGATGAAGGAGCAAGCCATCAAACCAAGGAATGTGGGAGCCTCTAGAAGTTTGAAAAGGCGAAAACACAAAGTCTCCCCTAGAGCCTCCAGAAAGGACACAGCCCTACCTTGATTTTAGCCCAGTGAGATCCATTTTGGATTTCTGACCTCCCTAACTCCATATTGTTTTAAATGATCAAATTTGTGGTCATTTGATACAGCAACTAATCTATATCCTTATCATTTAATCTCAGTTTATATGTCATCTTCTTACTGAGACTTTCCTTGATACGCTTCACCTGCTGAAATACATCTCTCCACCCTGTAGGCATTCTTTTTTTTTTTTAAGTTTTTATTGTGAATTGAGTGATAGTTTACACAAGATAACATCTGCTTTACACTCGTCATTTCATTGCAATGGTTACAGTATTTACTTCTATACTCTCTGTTTTTTTGTTTTGTGGGGATGCACACAAAAACACTCCAGAATACATAATCACTTAAACAACCAAAGGGCACATACTGCAAGCCTGCCTCCCCAGGCATTCTTTATAACACATTTTTATTTTCCTTGGCTTATGATTATCTAAAATTATTCTATTTATGTTCCCCTTCGTAGACTGTAAGCTCTATGACGGTATGGACTTGATTTCTCTAGTTCAGTATATCCAGTGCTTGGGACACCAGTCGACATTCAATCAGTATTTACTCTGTGAATGAACCTAAAGAGCAGTGGCTCTGTGGGATAAGCACTGGACTGAGAACCACAAGGTTCATAGTTCCAGCTTACCAGCTCTTTCACCTGGGGAGAAAGATGAGGCTTTCTGCTCCTGCAAAGATTTAAAGTCTCAGAAACCCACTTACCAGCAAAGCTATGAAGACTATAAAACTCTTATCACTATTGAATCATGGGAGTCCTGGTGTGGTGCTGCGGGTTAATGCACTGGACCCAAGGTCGCTGATTCAAGCTCACCAGTCACTCCTTGGAAACCCTACACAGGGTCTCTATGAGTTGGAGTCAACTGGACGGCACTTAACAAAAACAGCAGTACAGTTCCAAGCCCTACAAGTCCTATGTTGCATGGAACATCCCTATTGAAAATAGGAATACGATCAGAAATAGAGAGTGAAAATTACCGTATTAGTTTTGCTATTCTAGGTAGTGGAGTCAGAACTTGGATAGTTAGTACTATCCCTGATAAGAAAAGTCCTCTGTTATTACCATCTAATAAACATTTTGGGGAGGACCAAAGAAAGAAGAAAAGGTAGGTATCTTGGCTTAATCACATTGCTTAATTATTGCAGTTCTTAATTGCTGTTGTTTTTAAGTGCTGTGGAGTCAGTTCCGACTTATAGTGACCCTATATAGGGTTTCCAAGGCTTTAAATCTTTTGCAGGAGCAAAAATCCTCATCATTCTTCCTAGGAGCCACTGGTGGACACGAACAGACAGTGTGGTTCGCAATCCAACGCTTATCCTCCGGAGCCACCAGTCTCCCAGATCACATAAATATTGCCTAATTATTGCAGTTCTTAAAGGATCACACAAAAACATATCTTAACAGGAGAAAAATGCATGAATAAACCAGCACAGAATGGAATGATTCTTTTCTTTTTACACTAACGGATCAATTCTCTAATGGAATGATGAAAATTATTAGACTGAGTTAAAGAACAGTGTTTAACAATCTGGCCAGTTTTCCTGTGAAACAGGACATGTAAATAAAAGGCTAGTTTTAAAAAAAAAAGGTCTGGTCCCAAGATAGGCAGGATCTGCCTTGGCCAGGGAGAGACACTTGATGTCAACACTGAAAAAGGGTTTCTAAGGCTAGGTGCCCTGCCAGGCTCCTGCTTGCCAGATCAAACGCGGACTCTGAGCCAGTACCTCTAGAAGATAACTGTCCGCGGCTGCCAGAGCGCCCCCACAATCAGCCAGCCAATGACCACAGAGCTAAGGCGGGACCTTAGAGTGTCTGACCAATGGGAGCACAGCAGGGCTGGATGAAGAGCCCCGCTCCCAAGGGTTTTGGTGGGGTTCGCAGCCGGAGCCCCAGGCGATGTGGGAGCCTCGCGGAGCAGAGGCGTACGCGGCGGCCCTAGGCGGCGCACTCTTTCTGCTGCTATTCGCCCTTGGGGTTCACCAGCTGCTAAGGCAGAGGCGGCCGGTGGGATTCCCACCGGGACCGCTGGGGCTGCCATTCATCGGCAATATCTATTCCCTGGCTGCCTCTCCCGAGCTCCCCCACGTCTACATGAGAAAGCAGAGCCAGGTGTATGGCGAGGTACAGCCCCCACGGGCCCCGGGCTGGGAGGGCCGCTATCCGCTCCTGGTTCTGACCTGGACCTTCCTCCCGGTCCCTCGTCTGGAAATTCTCTCCACGTGTATGTCAGCCTTTGAGGGAAACCGACTTCCTGGGTTAGGGCGGGAGAAATCTTGGCGGCTGCGTTCCCGGCTGTGAAAGCTCCAGCCTTGCCGGGAACCCCATGCCGTGTCCATGCCCTGCGCGATCCAGGCCTGATTTTCCCGCCACTGAAAAATCCCGAGCTTTTGCTCCTGCGCCTGCGCCATATGGATTGTGGGTCACGCGGGTGTGCGTCCGGACGGCAACCCGCCCTGGCCCCACCCAGCAGGAGTGCAGTTCTTGGTTCTATAGAGCGGCCCTTGTCCCGCGGAGGGTAGAGTCCGAAGAAAGGTTCTCGGCCAAACAACTCTGGAGTCTCTGACCGAGTTCTTTGTTACTGGGAGGTTCTTTGATGTTTGAATTTGAGGAAGGACTAAACAAGGCTTTTGCTGTGATGATTAAACAGAAAGCAAGTGAAAGCTCCTGGCCTAGAATTAGAGATGATGGTGGTCGTGTACCACAGAGTGGGTTCCTATTCTTATCGACCCTGTATAGGGTTTCCGAGGCTGTAAACTGTTACGGGAGCCGAAAGCTCCAGCTTTCTACTGCGGAGCGGGTGGTAGATTCGAACCACTGATGTTGCCGAACTGCTACTTGCCATTAGCAGCCGAGGTTGGAAACCTATGATTACCAGAGTGGCCTAGAATTGGGCTCCAGTTAATGATTGTGAAAGAGTGAATGAATGAATTGGTGTGGAAATTGTACTGTACAGAATGAGTACTATCATTTTGACTACTCAAGAACATCTTATAAGAATATCTAGGGAGAAAATATCAAAAACCAAGAAAAAAGACAAATACAAAGATTGGATTTAACCCCAGAAGATCTAAGACTGCTTCGTTTAAGGACTTCGAGAGATCCAAAAATTGACCTGGAGAAAGGACACGAGACATATGGTCGTATGGAACAGCAATCAAGGCAAAGAGTATCTACTGCAGAACAGTGCTAACGTATCAGAAGGCAGTTCTGAAAGCAAAAACAAGTTACAGGCTAATCAGGGAGACTTACAAGTGGGGAGGATCTGCTTTCGTGTTTCTTTGCTAATTACTGCAAACTCTTTTGTACTTCTAAGTAAACAAACTATTTCTGTATTGTTGTTGTTGTTAATTGCCTTTGTGTCTGTTCCAACTCAGCTACCCTTTTTTTTTTTTCTTAAGTTTTATATAGGGTTTCCAAGGTGGTGAGTTTGCACTGCCAACCTTGCGGTTCAAATAACCTTGTGGTCCAGTGCTTATCCTAAAGTATCACACCTATTGCTTAATGGGCGTTTCTATAATATTGCAGTTGGGCTTATTCTTGGAATTAACGGGTGACTGGACCACACAGTTATCTTAATCTTGAGGGAATCTAGATCATCTTATTAAGCTTTAGGACCCTGATATAGCTAGGGATCTGCTCCCAAACCACAGTGACTTAGCAAACACGGCCAGATTACTTACTGCTGGGACTATCTTATCATAGGTGAAGCTATTATGATTTAGCAATGGGACAGTATTACTGCAGGGGCATATTCTAAGTGAGGCTATTTTGCTGAACAAGAGTGAGGCCATTTTGGAGTGCTTCGGCCTTGACAAAGAGACAAGGGTGAAATTAATGAAACCACTTAGGCTTTGTGATAACAGAGTGGCAGTGATGGAAACAGTAAGAAATGGACAGATTCTGTTTATACTTCTATTCTTAAAGAAGAGACAACACAAACGGTGAGCAGTGGGATATGAGGTTTTAGAGAAAAGCAGGAACCACCATGGTCTCCAGTGTTTTGGGCACGAACAGCTAAAATGATTGAGTGCCCATTAACTGAATAAAACATTTGAGTTGAGCTAGTGTGGGAGAATGGATA